CGAGGAATTGATGGCCGCCGCCTCATCGTCCTCAAACTCTTTGATAGACTTAACAACAGGGAGCTTCTTATTAATGTCGAGGGGGCGAGGCCGGAATGAGAGTCTACTCATGTCCTCAGCTTCATCTCCCTCTCCCTATCACTCTCTCTTCGCCTCTTCACTCCCCAGTGACCTCCATATCAACTGTTCAACAAAAAAATCACCAATTTGCCACTCAGCGCCTCGTCTCACAGCCTCAGTCGAGGCTCTCAACTCGGAAGCCAACAAAGGGACGCTCAAATCCCAATTGCACGAGTATTTCAGGTCTTTTGCAGTGGGAGAAGTGATCAAAGGCGACAATTTGGGGGTTTTGAAGAGAATTTGCGATTAGGGCACGGGAAACAGAGCTAGGGTTTTGATCGGGACGGACCGAGAGGGTCGCGGGAGAACAGGGAAGGGGTTGAGAGAGAGAGAAATGAGGGATTTTTCTTTGAATTCTAGGGTTTTGATCCGCTAGGGCTCGGTTTATTTCTAGGGTTTCAAAGGGAGAAAAAGGGAGGGAAGAGGAGCGAAGGGGGGGAAGGCACGAGAGGGGAGGGAGAGCGAGAGAGAGAAAATATAGAGAAAGAAAAATTGTCGGAACTGAGTTTTTGTACGTCTTTGGTTCTCGCTCGCGCGAGCTTTCGAATGTAGCGTACGGAATGGATTTGATTGTTCCAACACGTTTTTCTTTTTTTGGTATTTTTTACAGGATTTAGTAGTGATGAGGTAATGGACAAAAATAACTACCATTACCTTGTTTTTTTTTTTAAATTTCACAATATTTTAAGAAAACAAAGAAATATTTTCATGTGACGCATTGATATCTAATAATGTTATTTGTTGCTATGCTCTAATGCACTAATTGTTATTAAAGCATTGTTTTGTTGTTGTAAGGCGGGAGGTTATTTACTAGGACAGTTGAGGAAGCCCATTAGCAATTTTGTTTTAAAAAAAAGTACATTTTTGCTCCAAAAATAGCGCCTAATTATAAAATTATTCAATATGTACATCCATTTGAACTTCAAATGACATCTTTTCAATTTATATTGAATGTCATGTGTATCTTGAGACAATAAATTTCCATACGCGTTTAATATATATAAAAAGGACTAGACTTTCCTCCAATTGAAGTCGAAAAATACAAAATCCGAGCTTCAGATAGTGGAAATACTAATATGAAAGTCTGCAAAGGTATAAGTGGCTACACCACCACATTTACAGGGGTCTATCTGCAATTAAGCCTTCTCGATACGAAGATTCCCCGTCCACTTTAACAAAGAACATGATCACACAGTGGCGAAACCCAATCACTTATTACCAGACTCTTGAACAAAATGAACATGGAATCAGTGAGAAAGTTCCCATGATTTTTATATCAGTAACAACTATAAGGTTAATACTTAATAGTTACAGGATTGATAAAGCAAATGCGATGTTAGCATCATCAGTATCTAACTCTATATAAATACAATTACTCCATCATTGATGATCTACTAGGTCATCTGAACTAAGCGTTTCATCTCTTTCCTCACTTGCAGAGATCATGATTCCATCAGAGACTTCAGGTTGTTGAGCACTGCTCGAACTTCTAGATGATTCAACAGTCATCCTCTGCATCTGTGTTTGTTCATTCGAAGTTCTCTGCTGCTTTTCGCCTAGACCAATTATACCGAGAAGTGAGGAAATACCGGATCTTTTTCGTTTTCTTACACTCTCGGCCCAACCATGAAGTGTCTCTTGCATGTGTTGCGCGAATATTGCTTGTTTGTAGGAGTCACCCATCTGCACAAAAAATAAGTAATAATAAATAAATAAGTCAAAAATCAGCAAAAGAATAACAGGGTTAATCGCAGATAGACACCCCCGTTTTGACTCTTTTACACTCAGAAAAGATAAACTTGTTTTTTGACAAATAGACCTCCCGGGGAAAAAGGAGTCAAAATAATTTCACTAGGGGGTCTATCTGCAACATTTGAATTGTAGGGAGTCCGCAATTGGGGATAGTACAAGGGGTCTATCCGCAGCTAATCCAGAAAGATAAGATGAAGGTGAGTAAGGACACACCTGGGTAACAATGGCATACAAAGGAAGAGTGCTATAGCTGCACAGGACTTGTATAATGAGGCTGCAGAAGTAATAGCTTATATACATCAGTTAGGAATATGGTAGAAAGAAAACAAAATTATGGTTAAATTACAGAAAATTTCTCCTAAGATTTGCAGGATTTACAGATGTCTTCCCTTTGGTTCTAAAGTGATAGTTGAGCACTTCTGTTCATTTTTTATGATACTAACTTGGATGCATACTCTCATGTAAACAAGTATTTGATTATCGTTCTGAAAACTGATGATTGTCTTACTAGAAATTGAGAATAAGGAGGATAGAGTATCTCTTTTAAAATCTTTACTTTCTGTCATTCCCATGACATACGGGATTTTTTCTGTAATTTACACAAAAATTAAAAACTAATTTTTGATAACGATGCAACACCAAGCAGAGTTTTGATTGTTACCCAATAACGAGTCTGGGGATGAGATAGCCCACGCTTTCCATAATGCAAGAATTAAAGCCATAGGTGCTCTATAGAAACAAGAAGTAAGTGTCCAAAAACACATTGAATATGAAAGTTTCGAGCTTACCCAGATCCAGAAGAAGAAGGCTATCTCAAATGCATTCTGAAACAATATGAAATGGATTACATAGAGAATGATGCCAGGTCTCCGGAACCAAAAACGATGGTCTGAGGGCTTTATTTGCGCTGATTGATCATCTGCTGGCTTCTCCACAATCTCTTGGGCTATACGAGTAATAATGTGTTCCAATTTTGCGCCAACAGCAAGTAGAAGCTGAAAGTATCAAAAATGCTTCCTGAGCATTGTTACTAGCATCTAAGGTAGCATTATTTTTAAGATAGTTCACAAGAGAACAAGGAAAAATAAGGTGATATCACCCTCCCGATTAAAAAAGAAAAAAGAAAATTTTCAATTAGGTATATGTTTTAGGTCTAAAAGTAATTTTCTCATATATTGAACTTTATATATTATGCTAACAACGGCTAATCAGGCACGTATTTAAACTGCCTCTCAAATTGTTCATATAAATATATCGCAAATTCAAAGAATATGTGACCATTGCCATATACTTACAACTAGAGGCAAGAATGATAACCAGAAATATGTGTGCCATCCTGCAGAAATAATCAAAGTTAGAAAATAGTTGGTCTTTTTTACGATAATGTTGCAGTTTTAGCAATATTTATCAAAAAAGGAAACCATCAACTTGGATTGTGAAGTTTATGTATAGAAACAGCTGATAATTATAGGTGGAAGGAAAAAATTACCATTTTAACTTACCATGCACATCCAGTAGAAGGAAGATGATAACAAACAGCCATAGATACCAGCTGCACATGATTTGAACATTCAATGAGAAGCCAAATATCAGAGACAAGGAGGGGAGAAATTATGAAGTGTCTTACCTAATGCCAACTACTTTCTTAAAATCATCTTCAAGAGCACGCATCATGTACTTGTGAAAATCAAACTTTGGGTTTGTCTTGCAGTGCATCTGAAATTACAATCAGCGGTTTCGGTTATAAAGAAATTAATTTCATGATTACAATTTCTGAAAAAGTTAACTCACCATGATGAATCCCGACCTTAGTGCTCTGTAATCTGATTTAGTCATAGATGCATGAAACTGCTTGAAGAAGGACATCTGCAATCAAAAAAATCAATTTTCCTTGAGAATTATGCCTCTCGCACTTGGAACGTTGAAGGCTTGCAGAAAGCTTACCAAGGATATGATGATGATATATGACCATGAGCT